GTATTATCTGACTATAGTGAAATTTGCTTTTACTTGGGAAGAGATAGGAAATTCTCATTTGGTGAAGGTCATAAAGTCAAAAGCTGGTTTTCTTTTCTCTTGCAAACACTGTGTCATTAGGTCATATATCAGTGAGTAGCAGGTTTTTAACAGAGTTACATTTAACCCTGGGTGCTGAGTTGTGTGAAAAAGCTTTCCCTTATATTTATGTGGATTACCTGGATTAAATGCAGACAATACCTGTAATTCAGAAAGCAGCTTGCCCAGGGTAAGAATCCAACACTATATATATTTTTATATATAGGGTATTCTCATTGCCTTTGTGATAAGTAAATCAAAGAGAGCAGAGACTGGAGGTCCTAGAGCATTAATCTCTCATCCTTTCATATTGTGAAGTTCCACCTTTTCATGTTGTTCAATAATGCATGGAATTCAACCTCAGCACAGGTACTTTTTTTGGTCATGAACCTCATTATGAATGATGCTTTTGATTACATCTACAGCCTTCCTTCAGCTCTGAAGTTGTACATACTGTAACTCTGTTTCAATTAAAAAGCTTTCAATGTCAAGCCAGACAGGAGAAGGGAAACAGGAATTTGCACCATCTAAATCTTGGGGACACTGCATGGGTAGCATAAACTGTGAGAGAGATTGAGAAGTTCTTGAACCCTCTCCCAATCACAATTAGTAATAATTTACCCTGATTGCAGTGGAAGAGGAGTTAAACTGATCCTGAATATCACTGAAATGATCAGCTGGTGTCAATTACGTGTTTTAGCCTCTAGCTTAAAAATAAAACCCCAACCCAAAACCCCAGGAAAGTTTTAAAAGATGGCAATAAGCATTTTTATTTGATAGCCTTGAGAGAAGCCTTTGGATGGTGGTAGTAGTGAAGTGTGCAGTGTTAACCTCTAATAATGACAGGTAGGATTTCATCAGGACAAGAATCTATGAATCTGTAAGATTAGACTTGTTCTGTTTCTCCAGCTTTTTTATTAACTTATGCAAAATATATTCTTGCAAAGGTCTCCTAATGTCTCTTTCCTTCTCCTAGTATTCCATAATTGACAACAGTGCTCCAAGCAGTGAATATGTGAATAGTCTTGTATGTACAGTGCTGCTTGATGTGGTTATAAAGAAATTTGTGCAAAACATCACCCAGTTTTATACTAAAAGCAGTAGACATTAAAATGACCCTGCATTCAATATTGCTGAGAAAACCTCCTTGGCAGAATATCTCAGTGAGCACAGACAGTTTCTAGTGGAGTCTAGAACACAAACTGGGTTTCTTATAGTAATCACCCCATCCATCTTTCTCTCTCTGACCTGCTGAACAAACTACAGATACAATTCCAGGACATTTAGTATTTACTTATAGCATCTCTTGCTGACATTCAAGAACTAAGGTACTTCATTTTAAAGTCTCTGATCTGTCTATTTCTGCTGTTGTGTTTTCTTTTTTTGCTACCACTTCTTGTACAGTCACAGCAGGAATTAGTGATTCTGACTGCACTATGGAAAGGTCCATTTATCCTACTACATTTAATAAGCCAATTTAGCTGACAATAAATCTCTTCATGCACTGCAGAGGATGATTGCACTTTTCTTCCTTTAGTACTGTAATATAACTCATTTGAAGGCTAACAAACTTATACATGATTCTGCCTCATGTTTGAAGACCTTATGGATGTTTAATTATTACTGCTTGCTCTCTAATATCTGCTTTACATTTTATTTGTTGTTATGTTTATATCATTCAAAATACAGCATCCTCTTACTGGTAGGTCATAAAGTGATCACGTCCATTTAAAGTACAGTCATTCTTTTACAGCAAATAACCTGTTAAGAAGAAAAATATCTCCTTTGGCCAAAGATGCTTGCTCCTCAGGGACTAGAAAGGCCTAGAAGCCAGGCTTTTATCCCTCCTGATTTAGCACCTGGAATGGCATCTGTGTGAGAGCTGTTATAACACTTATAGTTTTGACAGAAGACAGACATTTTGGACCAAGGTCCAAGTCATGTATTTCTTTGTGTACATGTCGTGATTATGACTGTTACGACAAAGAAATTTCATTGCTTTCTGTTCCTCGGTTGATATCTTTGGAAAAAGTGAACTTGTGCACTCTGAGAAAACAGCAAAATACATTTTGGACCAAGGTCCAAGTTATGTATTTCTTTGTCATAACAGTCAGAATCACGACATGTACACAGAGAAATTTCATTGCTTTCTGTTCCTCAGTTGATATCTTTGGAAAAAGTGAACTTGTGCACTCTGAGAAAACAGCAAAATATGCAAATGGAAAAATGAGTCATGTAAATTTTGGAAAAACAAAACAGTAACTGCCTGTATTTTCTAGGATAATATTCCTGCTAAATACAAGAGACTGAATGGGTCTGTGATTGTGCACAAAAGGACGTTTCTGTCGAAGGATTCCTTTCTCTTGCTTGATCTTGTAGCAGCAAAAAGCTCTCAAATGAGGAGAATTTTGAAAACTAACTTCTAGGTTTGCATGAAGAAGAGAACCCAGCAGAAATAAATGGAATTCACAGAAAATGAGTTAGCATAACATTTAAGAATGTGGTGACTTGCAGGTTTTTTTGCCCCAAAGTAGCCAAAGATAAATAAGCAAGACTCTAAAAACTTTGTATGACTGTATCAAAATTTGGTTACATATGTTACATGTTTCTCTTTCTCTCCACACCCCCCCTCCTTTTTTTTTTTAACTCTGCCTCTAAGGGTTCAGGATTTCAAGAGCTTCATTACTGCTCTGAGGATTAGAAATCCAGTTCAGATGAAAAGCCACTACCTGCAAACCAAGAATCAGGTATGACGTGATTTTATTACTCAAGATGCAGAGAGCTGGTGAGCACTGGGAGCCAGGTCAGCTGACCTGGCACTGGTACCTGTGGAGGCCAAACCTCTCCCTTTTGCCTCACTGGTTTTTTCAGTGTAAAGCTGCTCATTTAAATACTGGACCTGTGCTTTGACCTTATTTTCTAAATGGGACATGAGAATGAAAAAGTTGAACAAATATTCAAGCTTTCATGGTTTCCAATGCTCTAGGAATTACACAAGTAATGAAATCAGCACTTTAATCCAGACAAGCATCTGTCATCTTTTGATTGATGATGCCAATAAAATACATACATTTGTCTGGTGCTGAGCTGCTAATTTATTAGGAGAGAAAATATCAGGGTGACTCATTATTTTTCACAGGATCCTAAGACTAATTTGGAGGAAAAGATTGAGTGCATTTTTTTACATTTTCATTTAATCCACAAAGAGTGAGTTAAAGTTGAATTGTTAGGAGATGGATGTAGCAAGCTAGGTGATCTCTTCTCTGTCTTGCTTTAACATTTTTCATTTAATCCACAAAGAGTAAGTTAAAGCTGAATTGTTAGGAGATGGATGTAGCAAGCTAGGTGATCTTTTCTCTGTCTGTGTTAGAGAAAAGCAAGACAGCAGAGAGAACTGATTTTATCATGATAACCACACTAACTGCAACATGTGCTTTGCTTCAAGAGTTGCTATACAAATGGTTGATAATTATTTGTTTTGGGGGATTCTGAGAACCTAGTTCAGTACCTGAAAGATGACTTCAGCAACCATTTATTCACCATGCTGCATAAAAAGATTGAAAAGATTTAGGTTTGTATTTGATTAGCAAATGTAAATAATTTGTCTAAAGAATCACTTGTTGTGATGGAATTAAGGCTGGCAGGAGACTGGGCACCATCTGTAAGCCTCTCCAGAACTGTGCAAAGCCACACCATCAAAGTACATTCCCTCCCACTGGAACTGTGGTGTCAGGCAGGGATCTGAGGCACTCAGAACACAACACAAAAGCAGGATGTTGTGGTGTGAGTAGGAAATCCTGGTGTGGGTGTTGGCATGGAACCCCCAGCTAAGGCCTTTCCCTTCATCTCTCCTGGGAAAGCTCCACACAGCCAGGGCTGCAATTGCACAGCTCACTGGGAGCCCCAGAGCTGCAGTGCTGCTCTGTCCATGTGGCAAAGACTGGGCATGAGCCAGCCTCAGTCTGGGAGGTGAGGATCCAACTGGCCTCGGTCCCTCTGGGGGTGCACGTGTATTTTTTATATATATTTTTATATATGCATGTATTCTGTCCAGCGTTTTACTCAGGCCTCTCAAGAGGTTTCTGTATGTATTGAATGCCTGTTTCTAGTGGGAAGGTATTTTTTAACATTGACATCATATAACTGATGCTTACCTGTAGCTTGTGTTTATTTTCTTGAAAATCTAGAGGAAACTGATACACATTTTTTTCTAATTTAGGTGCTTTATTGTTTAATTTTAGGAACAACTAGAAATTTTTAATGTGACAGCCTCTCAAGTGAATATTTTGTAAAGACCTTTTTCTTTACCAGTTGTCTGGTTTTAACTATGTATACTTTAATAATTTTTCTGCCATTATTATGAGTGCATTTGCTTTTCTATCAGCATATGCTGGAATGCTTTTATTAGTTATAATTCAGCAAGTTTCTTCTTTGTTCTTTCCTGTGGCTTGCAATAGTGTGCAGATTTCTGCAGCTTGTAATGCAGTTCTGGTTTTTTTCATGAAATAAGGTTGTGTAACACATGGTTCTGACCTCAATTTGAAACTACACTGGATGAAGCAGGGATTATTTCTTGAGTTAAATTCTGTCTGAAGTATAGGTTATGAGAGAACTGGAAATGCTCTGTAGGACTTAAATTTCCTGTTAGAATACAGGTATTGCTTTCAAAATAGGACAGTTAATAATACAATGGTTTTGACAAGCAAAAGAAGAAAAGGTCTTTCTTTTTACCTGTAAGAGCTGCTAAACAATTTAAGCAATTTTTATTTTCTGTAGTATGATGTCATCTATCTGCTTGCTTAAACTATAATTAATATCGGATTATTGTTTTAAATGTTGTTCCATTTATTTATGAAATATTGAGGTTATGCTTTGCTTTGTACGATTACAGCTTGCAATGGAACACAGAACTGAATTTTGGCTTGGCAATTGAAAATAATTTGTATTCATTTTTGATTGTGTAACTTCCTTGCCTGTGTTGGTGACTTCACAAGACAAGGCTGGAGTTACTGTTAGAGATAAGCATATTTACCTAATGAGAATGACTACTACATTTTCTTGTTTTCAGGTACAACTTCCCTTTTTAGCTTTAAATTGTCTGGCATAAGAATGAAGAAATCTGAATCAGACCAGCTCAAGCAAAGCCTTTTCTGCAGCCTTATAAAAACACAGGTGGGGTTTGCAGTATGAGCTCTGTGTTGTGAGATGAGTATTGATTTTTCTGCTTAAGTGATACAAACTATTTTAAGTCAAGCTAAAAAATATAGTTCAGAATCCTGCCACTGTGTATTATTCTCTAACAACATTTGTGAACTGAGGCTGCTGTAAATTTGTAAAAAAAAAATATTTCCCTATGTCCAATAGGGAAATTTTAGATTCAAGAGTGGTGTTTACTTTGGAGAAATTACTGGAAATAAATGAGACCTAATTCAGGAAGCTCTGTTTGAGACTGTCCTTTTATGTAGTTTGCTAAAATTAATATTTGTTCAAATGTTATTAGTGTTAATGCTAAACAAGTGTAAATAGTCACAGCACTGGCTATAGTTTATGAAATTACTGAAGATTCAAGGCATTTACTAAACTAAACCACAGCCATTTAATTTTATATACTTTAAGTAGTGTAAAAGGGGAAGGTGCAACTTAAAAAGGTGACTGCTTCTCTCTTCTTTTTTCAGGAGTGACTTAAGAGAAGCTTCACCAGTACTGGTCTCAGCACAGACTAAGGGTAAGCCAAGTGTACCACGGAGTGGGAAGGTTCATGCAATAGGCCAGCAGAAGTATAGTGAGAGTTTACCCTTTGGCTTTTAGAGTTCTGTCTTGATTGTGAAAATGTGTTGAATTTAGCTCAAGTTTGGTTAAAATGGTCTTGTCCTGCCTGACCTGAAATTTGTCCAATTTGTCTAGAGCTCTTGTCAATGTACAAAATATGTTGTCTTTTGCAGAAGCCTCGGAGCTTTCCCTCACATTCTGGGCTGGCTGCTGCCTGCCTTCAGCTGTGAACCAGACATGGGGTTCCAGCCCTACAGCACTGAACCCCCAAGTTGCTGCAACTGAGCTGGGTTTTACAGGTCAGCCTTGGCACTTTGCTGCTCTTTTACAACTGATTCATGCTTGGCTCAAGCAGGCTGTGCACAAAGAATAGTTTATTTACAAAAGATTTTGAAAGCAATCTATATAATAATCTGGATGTATGCAAGAATGTTATCCTGTAGCTGAATTTAGAGGAAAAAACCCACCCTTTTACAGTATGAGTTAATGTTTACTATTATTATTTGTGCACAAATAAAGTGACAGTTAAGTCCAGAGTAAATGAAATCAATCAGATCTGGACATCAGGTGATCTGCTAGCTACTGGTGGACTGATGGTGCACGATTCTCATCTGGCTGTGTTTTATGAGCTCTTTGCAGAGGTATCAGTCACCACCTAGTGTGTTAAATGCTGGCCACTCAGGCTTTGGAATGCAGTTCTCCTCACTAAACTGCCTTCAGGTTTTGCAAAATCCTTTAGGTCTGCATCCATGTTTTTTTTAGGGACTCCAGCAGTGACCTGCTCCGTGGAATGGCTCTTGGCAGAGCCAGCACTTGTGTATGGTTGAATAAGAAAACTGATCCAGGTGAATGTGCTTACAACAGGCACTGCAGAATCAGCTGAATCCTTCCTGGGTAATATTAAATGTGAGGTTCAGATAGGTGGAACTAAATTTCATTACTAGTTTATAAATCATTCTATGTGTTATTATAAAAAGTGTTCTTAATAATACTGATTATTTATTTGCAAAAGAAAATGTTGCTCTGCATGTTTTACATTGGAGGAAAACAATTGGTGGGTTGGGAATAAAACAGGACAAGTGCTTAGCAATTTTCTGGAAAGGTTTATACAAAGGGGCAGCCATAGATTATATCCCTCTTACTGTCCTAGTGATACCAATGTTTACTGTTCTATTGATACCAATGTTAAAATCTGTAATGATCAGAGTTTCCACAGGATTTACTCTCCAAACACATATATTGGAAGTGTGTGGCAGATCTGGGATGACACTGAAAGAGAAACATCTCCCTCCTCCTCTGCCAGGCAGAAAGGCAGGTATTTAATAAGCTATGTCACTGATAAAGCTAATTTGGTACCTGTATGTCTCTATCTGTATTTATTAGACAGCATTTTTCTTTTATCCTTAATTTTCATAGTGTGATTACAGATTTGTGTTCACAACACTGAGTGAGCATTAAATTTACGGCTTTCATCAGCACAGAATCATCACAGCTGGAAAGACCTTCAGCCATGACAAATCATTATATGGAGAAAAAGAAAATGAAAAAAAAAAACCAGTTACTGAAAAAGTTACTGTCAGATTATGCTCCTCTTTGTCATTTACTTATTCCAACACTTGTCTGTTTTAAAACATCTTGAGAGTCTATAGTGGTGCTTTGAAAAGAAAAATCATCAGAGTAAGATTACAGAAGTTAATTTCATTATTCCTGTTGTGTGATAATTTGCTTTCAGAGCATATGACTATAACAATGTAGTCTCATGATGCATTTGAAAAAGGCAGTAGGAATTGTGCTTTCAACTATTTAGTGTGGTGAAACCACCACAGGAATATCTGTGAATCCCCAAGTCACCATTTTCAAAGTTAGGAATGTTTTTATTACTATTATTATCTTATGAACATTTCTATGTTGCCAAGATCTGTAGCAATGTGTGGGCACAAAGGCTGGGAAACAAAACTCTGGTTGAAGCAAACATCCTTCTTTAGAAAGAAAGAAATAAATGGTGAATATTTAGAAACAGTGCAGATCATAGTGTTGGATAATTTGGGTATTCCTACTGAACGTGATCCTGCACAAACACGAACACAGGAAGTACCAAGGAGCATGACGCACTTTTACAGAGCCATTGTCACAGAATCAGAGAATCACTGAAGTTGGAAGAGACCTCCAAGACCAAGAAGTCCAGCCTTAGGCTTTCTGTTCATGTGGAGAGTTAACTCCCCCTTCTCATGCCAATCAGACAAATTTTTGCTCTTCAGTTTCTTAGACTAACTGCAGCTTAGTCATGGTGAGTGAGAAACTATTTTATGAAGTCCAGCCTTAGGCTTTCTGTTCGTGTGGAGAGTTAACTCCCCTTCTCCTGCCAATCAGACAAATTTTTGCTCTTCAATTTCTTAGACTAACTGCAGCTTAGTCATGGTGAGTGAGAAACTATTTTAACCTGTAGGTAAAAGTAAGCCTGATTGTTGTCTGATTCTTGTGGTCATTACAGGGAAAACAAGCATCCAATTCTATCTACAGTCATAGTTATTATACAATATATATTTTATTTGCATTTACAATACTCTTTTTCCATTGCTTTGAGCTTAAAATTATATCCAACTGTCTATTGATTATGGATTGGCAATGTGGGAAAAAAATAGGCCAAATATCAATCTAATTATATTCCAGAGATTTCTGATTTGCCAACAGGGTGATTTTAACTAAAAGTTAATGATGCAGTTATAGCTGTAAGGCTGGAGATCATAATAGATGAGGATTTAGTTCTTTTAAATGAGGCATTAAAGGATAATGAAAAGTTTTCAGTCACTTTTCCTTAAGTTTAATTCCCAGTGGCTACATTTCTAACAATACTGGTGTGCAAATATAGGCATGGTAATGTGTGCACAGAAATGAACACAGACCTCAGGCTGAAATCATGATGAAAATCAGAAAATTTAATTTTGTGGTTCAGAATTTATCACTACTTATGGTTACAACTTAATTATTTTTTTCCTCCTGAAGATACAATGAAGGTATGTGTTAAAGAAAAGCAAAAAACACCTAGAAGTAAGTAACAATTTTCTGCCTAGATCGATATTGCTAATTTTTTTCTTTTTGAGAGGAGGAAAAAAGAACTCTACTGCCTGCATATAAGAGTTTTATAGCTATTTTCACATTTGTAATATATGAGTTACTAACAGCAATCTCAGTTTTAATATGGAACCAGCTTAGGAAATCATTCCTCAAAAATAATCTTGGGGCAAGCTTCAAAACTCATGCTTTATGCTTTTTATACCGGGAGTCACATATTGTACTTCAGAAGTAAAGGCAATTGATTTCCAGCTTTACTGTCCAATTAAAAACTTTCTGATTCTTATGAGCTGGAGCAGGGTAATTCATTAGATCAATAAATTGTATTCTTTCCCAATGACATGAAGTGGCAGGTAGGTAATTTTTTACAAATGCTCATTACATTCAGAAGAAATCTAGTAAAGATTACTATTATGCAAAAATTTGCAGTTTTCAGAAGGAAGAAAACATTCCGCTTGGAACAAGATGTGTGCAGTGCTCCTACAAATAACCCTGGTGCTCAGTGTGCACCCAGAGCTCAGGGATTGTTCTTCCTGTGCAGTCACAAGCCCCTAAAGGAACTGCCTTCAGGTAAGCCCCAACAACAGCATTAGAGAAGGGATAACACCAATAGCATCCCATGGGCAAGTTTGTGTCAATAAACCCTAAAATACCACAGGAGCTAGAGAATGTAATCTGCAATCAATAATTTAGAACATGTAAAATATTATAGGACGCAATTCTATGCCCCTTGCAGATCACTTACTCTGAGAAGTCTGTGTGGCTATAAACTTCTTTATCAAGGCGTCGGTAGTCTGTGTGTAAAGGCTGAGAGCGTATTTGAGGGACTGAAGGTCTGGGCTCTTCTCCAAGAAATTCTTTTTCAGCCCACTTCCTCCAGCATGGAAGTATTGCTGAAATGAAAAATATGGTTGTTCACAGACAAAAAAAAAAAAAGGCCTTAGTTACAGACATACAACTTTAAGTAAAATTCTTAAATTAATGTTTGGAAGTAGCAACAGGCATGTCTAGATTTATTATAGCATTTGAGATATCTCTCATAATCTCTAGTACAAAGCTTCTTTCCAAGGGTAAAAAAAATAAGCACAAAGGGAAGAAATACACAGAATTTTGATTTTGGTCTTCATGATCTGAAGTATTAATTTGCAAAACTGGAATATATTTGAAGAATTATTTTAGGTTGCAGAGAATGGAATGAGTTTTAATTCTTTATCTAAAAAACCCCAAAGCAACAAACCCCTCTCAAATGAAGGCTTGGTTTACAAGCCAGTGCTTGTAAAATATACAGGATAAAGGACTTTTTAGGGAAAAGGGAACTTTGTAAAAAATTTCAGAAAGAATACTCCAGAGTGTGAAGTTTTTGAGTAGCAGTGTGAGAAGAGGGCTTCTACTGGTTCTACTGACAGCTAGATTTGGAAAAACAAGTATGCTTATGGCTTTGATGCCATGCTGACTATATGAACTATATATATATAAAAATATAAATGTATTATATTATGTTTTCAATCCCAAAGCTGAGTTCAGAAAAATTAGGGGACAGATTTGTCCCTTTTTCTCCCACAATGAAGAATTTTTCCTAAAGTTTTGTACAGGACAGTGTTTGATGAATTAATACATGTTAACTACAATGAAAAGATAAATGTGCTACATACCTTCATTTTGTTCAAACACCTTGCAAAGCATTTTGCAACCTCCATTACAGTTCTAGGTCTCAAGATCAATAAAGCTCCCATTAATGGCTAATTAGTAAAAATAAACGATGTTTTTCAGGAACACAATGACTGCTTGATGAGATACAGCATTGGTCCACTCTGTACAGGAAGTCTTGGGACTGTGTGCAGAATTTCCTCTCCCTGCCTTTTTGCAGTGTTGCCAAAGGAATAGATGCAATATCTACATTCCAGTTCTCATGCACACATCTCCTCTAAATCCCAGCTTATCTGGCCAGCTCAGACCTACAGTCCACACATGCCCTTTGCATTTAGTGCACACTTTTCACCTTCCAGATCTCAAGATTCTGCAGGAGATGAAACATAAATGTTTCATAACAGTTATTATTTACAATTTCTGTATTGCTGTCTACTGACTGTTAAAGGGAAAAAATACCTGTAGAAGCAAAACAGAGGATTTGAAGTCATCAGGCTCCAATATTTTATATTATTTTAATACTATGGGGGCAGTTAGTGTCAGTTTAAAAGGTTCTGAATAAATCTATCTTTCCAAGCAAATTATTTCATACAATACATTCCAAAAAACCTCCCATCTTAATTGCTCAAGCATTTAGTAATGATTTCACTAAGACTCATAATCAATTTATAAGCAAGTGTTAAAATCTGTTAATATTTCCTGCTATTGTGACAATTACTGTGATTTTTTTGAAATTGTCTCTCCCAGTAAAATGTTATCTGCAGCAGCAGCTACACATGGCTGAAAGCTCCATGAAAGCTAATAGTCATATAAAGAAACAAAGACACCTGACCCCCGTTTTCCTGAGTATTTAACTATTTTTTTTTTGTTTACCCCATAAATGGTGAATTCTGAAAGCAAACCAGCAATGTGAACCTATCATTACTGTACGGAACTGAATATAGAAATATAATGAGTAAACTGAGTTTTACAGATTCAGATGGATCTGTTATTACCCTGTTCCTTAGAGATGGAAAACTTAAAATAATTCCCCTACTACTCTTGCACCTCTCTCTGGGTTTGTAGGTGGCACAAGAGGTTTGAAAGTCACACTGACAAATGAAAGGGGCAGATGTCAAGTGCTGGAGCCACTGCAGCCTCAGCCCAAAGCTGCCAAATGCCACACAAAC